GAATAAGTACAATAAGAAGGTGCTATATCAAGTGTCAGCTTTGGATCCAAAAGAAAAATTGTGAAGGCCTTTAAATATTACAGTACTGCATTTCCCCTTTTTCTCAAAGAGCCTTTTTCCATCTGCCTAAATAACTTCTAATTAGCATCAGAATGTAAAGACAAAAAGCAGCTATTATTGACATTCTAGTTTTAAAAGTTAAAATATTGCTAATTTCAGACAGGAATATCTAAATTGAGACAGGAGTCTTACATAGACAAATATGTGTAATCGGATGGTTGTTGCTTGGTAGGGGAAAAGTTCATCTTTATTTTCAATGGGTTGAGTAAAAGCTATATAATTATTCAACCAATATGTAACAGTTGAACATCCATACTTCTGCTTTTATAAGAAATGCCACAATGAAAATACTTGTATATACATTTTTAAGCACATCACTGATTATTTTCTTTGCAAAAATACTAACAGGTGGGATTATCAGGTTAAAATATTTGACCATTAAAATTTTCTTTTAACTTTCAAAAACACTTTTCAAATAGACATTTTAAAAGCTCTTGATATATACTGCAAAACTGATTCCCAAGAATATTGTGTCAAGTTATATTCCCACCTGTAGTGATGAGAACACTTATTTTCAAATTTAATTGGTGGCAGGCCCAGATGGCTCCTAAACTGAAGGGATTTTTATTTTTGTTTAATGCCTTATATGTGAGTAAGTTGAGAGAAGAAAGTGTATTTTATGCTGGAAGGTTCCTGCTCCTTGCTTCCTTCGCTCTGGCATCATTTGGGCCCTCGTGGGTGTTTGAACTTTTGCTCCAGCTGCTCACATCGATCCTGTGTATCTCAGAAGCTGAAGACCCCAGTTATTATTATAGTTTTACCCTCTGTTTTTGGTGCAGGGAGGCATTCCTTTCTCAGTTTTTATCTTTTGAACACATACACAATTTTAAACGTCATTTCTAAGTGTAGGAACAGAATGGCATGAGATCACCCTACCATCTTGATCCTGAAGTCTATTCTGAATCTTGACAGCTATCTCCTGTTTTCTTGAAAGTGGACTTTTTCATAATCATATATTTCTATGTATACATATATATTTGTTTATACGAGCTTGAATGAACTGTGTGTGTGTGTTATATGTTTCTCCTTATACAAGCCTTGAATGTAGAGAGCTCTCTACTCAGAATTGGTTTTTGACCCTTGCAAGAATATGTGGATCCCTGGCTGTCCTGACACTCAACCAGGTTGTTGATGAGGGTATGCTCTAAAGCTCAGGCTGGAGGCTGGCCCATGTGCATTGCATTGCAAGTATAAGGACAATGCATCAGTCTGAGGGGAGTGAGTCGTGAGCCAGGACCAGAGGCGGCTGTACAGAGCAATGTGGCCTGTGGTGCAGAAGCTGCTGTGCCAGTTTCCCTTTACATTTATTTCTTTACATACATTTCTTGTATGCCCCAGTGTGTGTCAGGTCTAAAGTGTGTCTAGGCTGCCTAAAGGACCAAGCCCCAGATGGCCTTCTGCTTGACACAGAAACTGTGTGGACCCTGAGGATTTCAACAAATGATACTGACTCACCAAAATGATAGAGTAAAAAGAGTCCATCTACCCCCTAGCCAGTCTTTGACTTTATTCATTATCCCTTCAAATTAGAATGCATTAAGGGGTGCCCTCCTGCCAGCGTTCCCTCCAGTTATTCCCATAAATGCTATTGTTGTTTAGCAGAAGACCTTCATGCTTCTCTTCTATGTGGTCCTACCTGCCCTATGTTGAAAAGTTTTGGGGATTTGCCTGTAACTGTTAGTGCTTTTGAAGACTTCCCCCCTATTTTTATATTCCATTGATCATTTCCATGGGAAGGAAAGTAGAGGCCTGTGTTTACTTTGCCTATTTACCAGGGAGTCAATAAGTTCTCTTTTTATAAAAAACCTCCTATTGGATATCCAGCCAGATATTGTTTGTTTTAGATATTGTTTTAATATGCATTTTTTAAAAATAGAACTGCCTCTTCCTGCTTTCATTACAGAATTTTGTTAATCTAGATGTCAGTCAAATGAAGACTACACTTTAAAACATGTAGTTATTTCAAATAAAGATGACACTAAAGCATTACAATACTGACCATGTAAATATTGATGGAGATCAATATAAGGGCCTCCAGGGGTTCCAGTACTGATTGAAAATGCCTATTATGTCTACATACTGTTTCACTGAAGGTAATGTAACAGAGCAGATCTAAGTTTCCTTATAGTTAGCAATAAACAACTGAAAGATAAGCTGCTGATTCATTTAACGGCAGTTTCCTGTGATGATTACATTCTAACTCAAAATCAATAATAGCAATAAATGTTATATATTAAGAAAAGGTCTCATGTATCACATTTTCAAATGTATCGAAGTTAAACAAAGCTTTAGAAAATAATTATAAAATACTTACCATAGAGAAAAAGTATTCTTTAAATTAATTACTATAGATAGTAATGTGGTACCAGCAGCAGTAACAGCCATTTATAGAACATCTTATACTTTCAGGTACTTTACATGTATCTCATTTAATCCTCCAATCCTGCCACTTCAGATATTATAATCTCTACCTTTTATATGAGGAAACAGGCCCAGAGGTTAAGTAATTTGCCTAATGAAGTTGGATGACCAATTGAGGTGCTCACTGGGGGACCTCTAGGGAACATCAGAGATTCTGAGGCACATTGTTTACGTGGATTCAAAGTGCTGCTTGACTCTTGGCTGCCTATGTGATTCATATACTTCTCCACTGCTAGAGGTACTCTTGTGAGAGATGGATGGCCATGTCTGCAATGCTGTAGAAAGCATTCGTGTTCCCTGTAAGTTTACATCAGGGGTTCTTAAGTTGGGGTTCATAAACACTCTGAAAATGCACGAAAAAAATGTGCTTAATTGCATATTTCTGGGAAGAGGACTTTCACCAGATTTCCATGGAGTCCATGATCTAAAAATGGATCAGAATTGTCCTCTAGATATTCCTTAGTGACTGGTTTTAACCTATAAGACCTAAGAAATCTTAATTTCATTTCTGAGGAAATTCCATAGTATAACATCCTGGAGTATACTTAAATTAACAAGAAAGTGGAGGCAATTACCCAAATGAAAATTTCAAATTGAAACTTGAAATAATCGGATAGCCATGGCAAAGGAAATGAGGTGGAGACTGTGGCTGAATTATCTACCACATGATAGCAATTTTCTAATTTTCATTACAGACAGAAAAAGCTACTGCTTAAAGAGAAAGAAAAATGAGCTGAGCTAATTTGAATTATCACATTGAAAAAGATATGTCACATATAATTACAAAAGTGCTGGGAAATATGCAAACATTAGCAATTGTATTTCTAAATAGGAAGACAACTTAGAAACAATTTGCTAGTTTTAAGCAGTGGAGTGGGTATAATCTTATGACAGATAAAAAGTGAAGATGTAATTTTCCACTTTTCTTCCAAAGAAGTTCTGCTGAACTTCAAAAATTTTCTTTGAATAATCATGTTTGACAAATATAAAGGTTAATGCTAGCAAGGTAATTAAAATTAATGATTGCAATGTCCACTGGGCTATGTCTGTGCAGGTGTTTCCCTCCACTGTTCCCATCCTAGCTTAAAAATGTCTGATATATAAAATTCTGATCTTACACATAATACATTAGTAGTGGCTATTTTCATCCCTCCTAAAAAATACAGAATTTCTTTACAAAAAGAGTTTTTATAGGGTTTCTAAAATATAATTTGATTTTTAAAAATGTAATAGGTCATACAAAATTACAAAAAAATACTCATTGCAGAAATTGAGCAGATACTATTAGAGGCATGGATTCCAATCCTCTCTAGCATTGTTTTAAAGTCAAAGGTTACCTTGAAGGAAGGGTCTTGCACATTGCCCTATTACCAAGTCAAGTCATCTACTATCCATGACTTTACTCAAAACTTACTAGTTTGATACTTGATTAACATAGATTTTTTTTTCTTTTATAATTTTTTTGTGATTTTTTAGTATATTAACACAGACTTTTATCTCTCTCTCTCTCTCTCTCTCTATATATATGTATATATATATATATATATATATATATATATACATACATATATATATATATAATCTGGTCCCCAGCATGGCGATTAAGAGCACAAACTAGAGAATAATGGACCGTTAGATGCTATAGCACAAAGACAACCAGCAGACAGACTGACGCCAAGGGAAGAGACAGAACACAAACAAAAAGGAAGTCCAAATACATGTTGGGAAAAAAGTACCTGGAGATAGGAAGAGGGAAGGATGGAAATATCTAATCATTTAAGCTATCCCCAAGGATCTCCCTGTCAGTTGGGATGTTGGAGGTTACTGAGAGCACGGCTGACTCTGGGGGTGTCCAGTGACAGATCATGCAGTCCCTTGAGAGAGGTATTCTCTCAGCTCTGAAGAGTAGGGAACTGGTTCAGCTGCTCTACAGCCCTTCAGTTAGTTACCCTGCTGACTGCCCCAGGGTTTGTTCCTAGTTTTCCCTGCTTGTGATCTTGAGGGTTTTTCATGGTTCTACTTAACTCACTGTCTTTCACCTTTATTGTGTTCTGGGGTCTCTTGCACAGCTGGGTTGTATCTTCAATCTTATTCCATCTGTTTTATATTATTAAAAATTTCCTCAAGGCTGAGTCCAACCTTCTAGGTTTCCAGTGCTGTTGTGGATTTATCTTTTTATTTATTCTTCCATTTCAAAGAGACTTTAGATGGAAGTAGAGGTAAAAAAAAAAAGTCTTAAACAGCTATCTTCTGTTGGAAGCCATTTTGAGCACTTTAAATAAAGCAAGTATTCTCCCCCTACAATTGGTTGCACTAAGATTTTTATCGATAAGCTATCAATTTTACTGTAGGCAAACCAATGCATTTAACAAGATTAAACTATCAAACTTGAAATTTTCTTCTTTTGTTTTGCTAAATAAGTTATTTTTAAAAGCATGAAAAAAATGCAGAAAACTTACAATCCATATCAAGTATGGCACGGACAGATTTAACAAGTTCCTTAGATTCAAGTGCCAGCGTTGCTGGGATGTTACGTCCACTCCTTCCCAGTGGTGTGAGGGACGTCTGGGAAGCTAACATAGCTCTTCTTTCACTATGGAAGCAATAAAATAAAGCTAAACTTATTACACAATGAATAATATCTATCTTTGCTAAGTCTGAATTCTTCTTAGTTATGAAATTGTACAAAAATTTTTGATTTCTGGGAACATTGTATTCTTATAGCCATAATCGAAATAATTCCCACAAAATAATATTTCTGTTTTCAATTCTTTATTATATAATAAATAGGCATATTTAAAAAATTAGTTTTACCTTATACATAAGGAGGAAGGGATAGAAGGATAGCTTCCTCCTAAATCATTTGTTTGGCTTATTTTGTGAGTGCTTGTGTTATGCTAACATGATTTGGCCTTTTATTTAGTTTTGTAAACACTTAAATTAAGCACTTAAACATAAATTTATTAAAGAGACATTTACTACTACTTCTAGTAATATTAAATATAAATTCAATATGTATATTTGCTCCTGAAATTCTCTCTTAAACTCTTCCATTTGCTATCCCTAAATCTAAAAAAGCCTAGAGCATTTATACCACTTTTAAAAAATGCAAAAGTCACCTGAAATGAATGCATTCTGGTACAATTAAAATGCAAGGTTTTACTTTTACCATTATGCTGAAACTTTTACTTGAAAAGAGGCAATTTTAAACTGATGACAAAGCCATCATTACTTATAATCCATCTTCCTAAGCATGATAGTATTAATTCACAAGGAGAAACTAAAGCATCAATTCTCAAATTCAAATACAGAGCCTTTATTCCGTGTAGAATACCAAGGCCAACAACCATTACAGATGATATAGTATATTAAAAAGACTGAGCCAAATTTTACTAGCGTTTAACTTTCCAAGATGTAGCAAAAAGTTGCTTAATGTTGCTTTTTTTTTTAAAGTTGATGTATAGTTGATTTACAGTGTTGTATTACCTTCAGGTGTACAGCAAAGTGATTCAGTTACATATATTAATGTTGCTTTTTAAAGTTACTTTTGTTCTGTGAACCTGCAAGGGCAGGCTCTGGCTTTTAAATAGTCATTTTTAATACCAAAGCTTTTGAATTATTATTCAAGGTCACAATGAAACCTTGGGTGGTGGGAGTTTGGGACATGTCTAACCCATACAAGCGGAATCTGACTGCTGAGTATTTTAACATCATACTGAAAATAATCATCATGGTACTCACATAATTATTTTACATCATAAGCAGCATAGATAACAATAAAAACATCAGATTTCACCTGAAGAAATAAAGTATTACATTAAAATGAGTGTAAAGGTGTACTACCATATGTACTACCATGTACTACCATATTTTTCTAAATTCAAAAATGCTATGTGGAAACTTAAAATATAATGAATCATCTTCATTTATTGAACTGCTGTTTTCACAGAAAAGGGTGGAGTTTTCCTATGTTTCTGCAAGCATACGTTGCTAGAAGTAGAACTACATTGCTAGTGGTAGTCTTTATAAAAAGAAAAAAATTGCTTTGACTATCTTAAGACTTTAAGAGATTTTAGTATTTTAGCACAAGCACCAGATGAAGAATGTAATCAGTGGCCATACTCTGCAGAAAGCACTTAAATTTTCTTACCTTAAATTTGACAAAGGAAGAGAATTATCACAAAACACTTCTTGAATAGCCTAGAGACAAACAAGAGAGTGAAGGTGATAATGTAACTTTGATAGCTTTTTAAAATGTTTTCTCTTGCTTAAATAATATTTATAACCCCCTCCACCCATATGATTAAAAAGGTGTTCCTGTTATATAGGGGAAAAAATCAATTACATTAACAAACAATTCTACTCAGAATTATAATACACAGAGAAACATTTCTTTATAGGGTAGTTATCAACAAATGTTTACATAGTATCAAAAGTTAAGGAAGTGTTCATTAAAACATAGTATATATTTGGGACCATATTACCCTGTCTCAATTATTTCTCTTAATCTGTATGTTAGCTGGTCTTTTCATTATCCAAGCAATTTAAAATCTGACTGTAAGTCACCATTGCTGTTTTGAGCCCAGAGAATATTTCACTAGCCATCAAACACCATGACATTTACCTGTATGTCAGTTGTCTATACATTTCTTAAAAATGGACATAAAGTGATGTAACAGGAAAATTTACCTCTACAAAATGAAGAAGCTTTTCAGTGGATGCCTCAAAAGTTTTTCGAGCCATTTCTGATTTTCTCAATTGGCAGTCAAGTACTGTGATTCGCTTTCTTAACTCCTGAACACTTTCCTGGACAGAGATATCAAAAGGAACATATTATACATTTCTTCAATTTTATACTAGTGGCTCCTATTTTCATTTTTTATTAACTAATATCCAACATTACTATATCATTTATTTTCTCTCTTCTTGTATATATCTTCTGGTTTTGGGGGGTACTTAACTAATTGCATATTTTTAAAAGTTAAACTGCACAGGAATGCTGCAAACTTTTTAAGATAAGCTACAAATAACTTTTATTTTAATAAAAGTTATATAATAATACATTTACTATATATAATATTATATAAAATGTTATATATAATACACTTTAATTAGTTTATATTATATTCTTATATTAAAATACATTTTAATTAGTTTATGGCATTTCTTGACAACATGGTTACCAGATGCTGATGGAAACCCCTATTAGTGTGGCACAATCCAACATGCTGAAGATATACACAAATATTATTATTTTTTTTTGCGGTACGCAGGCCTCTCACTGTTGCGGCCTCTCCGTTGCGGAGCACAGGCTCCAGATGTGCAGGCTCAGCGGCCATGGCTCACGGGCCCAGCTGCTCTGCAGCATGTGGGATCTTCCCGGACCGGGGCACGAACCCGCGTCCCCTGCATCGGCAGGCGGACTCTCAACCACTGCGCCACCAGGGAAGCCCTATACATAAATATTTAATGTAATATGACCCAATGTAAAGCTGAGCTGACAGGGAAGTAAAAGAATTCCAGGAAAAGTGAAGGAATTTCATGAAGATAAGCAATAGCAATGCTGAGTGAAGCCACTGAAGTTAGAGTACACTGTAGCACAATTTGATCTCAGGGTATTTGCTGATCCTTGGAGGCCTATAGTTTGGGGTTTCATCAGGCACAAATGGCAAACAGGAGAACTTTAATGGGTGAATTAGGGAGAAACAAACCTTTTGATTTTGCCTCTGGTGAATGGTTAAAAAAGTGTCCCCTGAATAATTGCCAACCACAGTCCCCCAACTCATGCAGGTTCCAGGTCAGAATTTATATTACCTGTGTGGCCTGTACATTCATAAGCTGAAAATTTAGTTTAAATTGGTCCCTGGCTGGTAAAAGCAAACAAAAAATTTCTCTAGTGGGTTATTTGCTAAACTCAGACATCAAAGAATGCCTACATTGAATGTATCAAAAGAACATGATCTCAGCAAATAAGCTACTATGGATGAAAAGTCAGCTGAAGGAAACAAATTAGAGGATCAAACCTATAGAGATAGCAGCTACTGAAGTGATCAGATACAGAATATAAAGTTATGTTTAATATGTTTTAAAAATTAAGAATTTAAAGCATAATAAAGAAACAAGAAACTATCAAAATAGATACAGGTGATACAAAAAATAGATCTGAAAAGTAAAAATGCAGGGAGGGTGGGAGGGAGATGCAGGAGGGAGGGGATATGGGGATATATGTATATGTATAGCTGATTCACTTTGTTATACAGCAGCAACTAACACAACAATGTAAAGCAATTATATTCCAATAAAGATGTTTAAAAAAAAAGCAGTAATAATTAGAAACTCAATTTATGCATTTACTATCCAATTAGATACAGATGAAAAGAGAATGGGTGAACTGGAAGGCAGAGGTAAAGAAACTTCTCGTAATAGAGCATAAAAATAAAACTGGAAAATATGAAAAGAGAAAAAATAACCAGAAGAAGATCTAGCATACATCCAATCTGAATTACATAAGACAGACTAGAAATAATGAAAGATGAATAGGTCAGGATAAAAGCTTAGGGTTTTTCAGAAATGGTGAAAGACACTGTTCCTCAGATAAGGAACCTCATTCCATGAATCTCAAGCAATATAAATAAAAATAAGTGAACACATGACTGATCATAGTCAAACTTATGAACACTAAAGGTAAAGAGAAAATCATCTAAAAAGAAACAACAGATAGCAAACAAACGACAGACTGACATCTGATATCACAACCATGGAATAAAAACACTGAAAGAAATTCAGTGCCAATTTAACAATCTAAATGTAGCAAAAATATATTTCAAGAACAAGAGTCAAAAAAGAAGTTTCCAGACAAACAAAAATACAGTTTATTACCAATAGATCCTCACTATTCTAAAAGATGTACTTCAGGAAAAAAGAAAGTAATTCTAGCAAGGATGTCAAATGAAAGGAAGAATGTTGAACAAAGAAAATGATAAACATGGAGGTCTATCTAAATGAAGGTTGACTGCACAAAATAAACTGTAATAGTATCTAATTTATGATGTTAAAAGTCAAGAAAGAACTAAAATACTTAGTTAATAGAAATTAAGCAGAAAGGGATGATTGGATTTATCTTTTAAAGTCCTTACAATATTTAGAAGAAGTGGAAAGCCAGTGATTAGTTTTATAATTTAAGTTAAAATAGAATGTTAACATTTCTAATATAATCTTTAAAAATTAGAAACCAAGTATCTAACTTCTAAACCAGCAGAGTAAACTAAATGAAATGGGAGTAGGGGAACACAGGAGAAGTCTGACCCAATCCAAAAAAGAAAAAAAAAAAGGGAGGCAAGAAATGACAAACAACTAGAAAACATGGGACAAATAAAATGCACAAAATAAAAGAGTAGAAATGAAGCCAAGTGCATTTGCAAATAAGAATGTAAATGGAAAGGCCTTTCCAATTAAAGGTCAAAAATCAGTAAAATGGGGAAAAAAATCCAACTACCAGTTGTTTATCATAGACACAATTAAAATATAAGGACACTGAAAAGTTGAAAGTAAAAGGATGGAAAAAATACATAGGTAAATACCAAAAGAAAGCTGGTATAACTATTTTAATATCAATCAAAAATAAGCATTAAGGGGGAAAGAAGATTGAAGAGTCACAACATTTTCATAAAAGGATGATAACATAATTCTAAGCTTGTATGCAATTAAAAACATTACTTCAAATATATACAGAAAATTTTAAAAAGTAATCAAAAGGGAAATTTTAACCTATTCCCTGACAAAGAAATTAATATGACTAGAGAAGAATTGAACCCCACAATTAATGATCCTGATCTGGTGGACTATATAAAACAACACATCAAATGATTGCAGAATTCTTTTCAAGCTCTCTTTGAATATTTGTAAATATTGGTCATACAGTAAGCCATGAAGCAACCATCAATGAATTTTGGAGTTATCTATAGACTAGATTCTCTGGCCACATGCAATTAACCTTTCTGTTCCTCAATGATGTTTATGAATCAAGACGCAATCATAAATATGTAAATTTCCCCCAAATTATTTAATGCATTATTTAATGCATTTTCAGTAAAAATGGCAATCGTATTAATTTCTTTTGATGGAATTTATAATTTGAGTCTAAAATACATATAAAAGATCAAAGGGTTATATAGCCAACACACTTTTAAAGAAAAAGAACTAGACAGGTTGATCGGATCAAGATTTAGAGTAAAAGAGACTTTTGAATGAGCGGTGCTGGTATAGTTGGTCATTCCCTTAGAATAAAAAAGAAAGAATGAAATGAATCCCCACCTTATACAATGATATAAAACCATGACAGAAGGATCAAAGTTTTAAAACTTTTAGAGACAAATATAAAAATATCTTTGGGAATGGAAGGACTTCTGGAAAGACACATGAGAGAGAAGACTGAAAAGTTTGATTACTTGAAAATAACACCTGTTCATTTCACCAGAGGGTGAAAAGGTAAGCTATAAATTCCAGAGAGGATTTTTACAACATAAAATATAAGATAGGTTAGTAACCAGAACATACAAACAATCACTATATATGAATATAAAAAAGACAAATAACCCAATGGAAAATGGTTAAAAGATATGAAGAAGCATTTCACATAGAAACACAAATGCCTAATAAATGCATAAATATTAGCTCAACTGACTATCTGGGAGAAGGGGCAAAGCCCTGGTTTATTGCATTTGGGGGTGTAAATAACCCCACCATGGCTGATTTCAAGCTAACAACATGATGTGTTGAACATGCAGTTAAGAAGAAATGCACATAGTCAGCTCTCATAAACCAGTACCAGCTGGTCCCAGCACATCAGTAGCTCAAAATCATTAGAGAAATTCAAATTAAACCACAATGAGAGACACTTATCACACCTAACAGTTTGATAAAAATTAAAAGTAAAAGAAAGCAAGCATCAGCAAGGATTTGAGGTAAACAGTAATTCTCATTCATTACTGTTGGGAGTAAAATTGTTTCAAACACTTTCAAAAACAATTAGGAATTGCCTAATTGTAATTAGTAAAGTTGATCATACAATCATCATTCAACCTAGCAATTCAACTCCAAGATATGAACCCAAGAGAACTGTTACACATGTGGAGCAGGATATATGTACAAAACTGTTTTCAGCAACATTGTTCATAACAGAAGAAAACTGAAACGATTGGACTGTCCATCAAATACAGAATGGACAAATATACTGTAATATATCCACTCAATGGAGTACAAAAAAGCAATGAAAAGACATGAACTAGCTATAAACTTCAAATAGATGAATCACAAAAACAAAATTTTGAGTGAAAAACCAAGTTGGAACAATAAAAGTAGTATATTTCTATTTACATAAAGTTGACAAACAGGCAAAATTAAACAACATATTGTTAAGGGATATATACATAGGTAGTAAAATTATCAAGAAAATGCTTAACACTAAATCCAGGAAAGTGGTTTGTTTACTTATGAGGGTGAGGGAGGGGGATGCAATTGGAAAGGGATATTGTGGGTCTTCGAAGGTACTGGTAAAGTTTTATTTCTTAAGCTGAAGGTAAAAAAAAAAAGGGAAATAAGTAAATATAGAGATAATATAAGGGAAAACTTGTAAGAAAAATAATATTGTTACAAAAAGAATATGCCTTAAAAATAAATATTGAATCTGAATCCTGTAATATCTTGGTCAGTGTCTCTTCAAGCAATCTCAAACAATTAAAAAAAAATTTCCTTCTATTTCTCCACTGGTATTGGGTTTGGAAAATGTTAAGATGCTCATGTATGAAATTTCCTCTTTGGGAAAAAAAAAAGATTATCTTCAGAGACAGGTTAATGGTTTAGTTTAGGATTTTGTTAAGAGGAATGGCATGAGACACCATTATGCTAAAAAAGAGAAGAACTGAATTAATTATATTACTACACGACTTAGGACAAAAACGTTTCTCAGCTAGGAGCTGGAAGAAAGAATAGCAAATAACTTATGCTTTTAAAAAAATGAATAAATTCATGTGAACTCCTTGAATGTTATATTATTTAAAAAGTATTTTTAAAGACTTGATTATCCCTCCAAAAGTAAATCAAGTTATTATTAAAAAAAAGTACTTTTAGTGTTTTGAAAATTCCCAAAATATTTTCAGAATCATGTTAAAGTTACTCACATGAAATAAGCACATATCTCTGATTTCAGAATGTAAACACTGGGTCAAGAATAATAAATACATGTAATATTCCTAAGTATTTCTGCTGTCTCAAGTAATGTTTTCCCCTTGGCCTTGTGGTATTATCAAAGGGTGACAGGAATGTCAACCTTCTTTTGGAATTGGTTTAAATGGACAGATGTGAGAAATATATTAGTGATCCTTAAGAGCTAACCAAAGAAAATTTCAGATTTTCTTCTGTATTTTGCTTTTCTAAAACTGGTTTCATTTCTACTTGGTATATTTAAAGTATTTAACTCTTTTATGTTTAAATAAATACACATAAATTTTTCAAATTCGTTTTATGTTCTCTTGAAAGATGACTGTATTAGAGAGCTATAAACACTATGGTTATAAATGAACTCTATGAAGTTATGAAATATCTATTTCAATTTATTTAATTTTCTACCTTACTTCAGTGAAATAAAAATGTCTGTTACAGTTTTTGAAGACCACTCAATGAATACAGTATGTTTTAAAAAATCACATAATGAAAAAATTCACATTAAAAAAAGTTCACATTGCCTTCTGGAAAGCATTCAGTATTTCACTATTGAAATTGGAGTCTGCTAAATTCAAACTCAAATTTCTTTCTATTAATTATCTTGGGCCTTGGGCAAAATTTCTTTAACTTTCACACTTCCTTGAGTGCTCTAATCAAAGAGCAAACCCCATCCCTAGACTCTCCTCCTCCCATCCCCACAGGACAAATTAGCAAGTTTAGGAAAAAGGAGGAAACCAATGTAATCAATTAAATGTTAAATAGTTCCAGGACTTAGTGCCTGAGCTGTACAATGTTGACCAATGACCTGAATAAATTTGGGCACATACTTTTGCATCCCAAAGCTATCTGGATAAACGGAGGCTCATAACCTTCACATTACCCCCATCATGACACATCATCCTATCACTGAATTATAGAAGACAAACACTGACCTAGTTTAGAAGTGCAGATGAGAAGAAAATGAAAACAGGATACATGACAACGGCAAGGAAACCATGGTAACTAGAAGAGAGAACTGTTTTGCTTACTTTATTTTGGTCAGAATAATCAGCAAGCTGAGCCTTCAGCTCTGTAATCTCGGCCTCTAACAGACGGATCACTTCTTCATAATCCATTTCCATTCCGTGTGCCTGTCTCTGTGCAGCTTCGGCAAGATGAAGCCGACTTCGCAGGGCTCTTGTTTCTTCGACCACAGCTTTGGCTTCCTAAAAATTTCAAAAAATAATGTCATTGAAAAAAAAAAACATGTAAAAACAATTCAGTGGTTTAAACAAAATATTTTCCTCCTTCCTGGAAGTTCTAATTCTAAAAGTGAATCAATTATACATATGTTTCTCACATCTCAATTTGAAAATTAATATTCACATTATTTTATTGTACAGAGTAGCTGCCTGACCTTACTTTTCCTTCCTTGATTTCTTAGAAAACTTTCCATATGGAATCTCCAACTTCACACATCTAGCATAGAATTTTGAAAATAAGAGAAGCAAAAGAGAATTGAAAGTGGAAAATAGAAGACTAAGAATTAGCTGAAAAGATAAAAAGAGTAGGCTTCTACAAAAGTCAAGCAGGTGGTAGGCTCATGTTCTAGGAAGGCTCTTGCAGCTTCATCAGATACTGCTGAGAGATTTATAGTGTTGAGGGCTTCTCCGTGGTCCAAGCGCCAGGGGCCAAAGCTTATTCCTAGACATCAGTCTAACTGCTACTTCTCCATTTTGATTTAAGCCAAAAGGTAGAATTCAGTAGCAAAATATACAGCTATTTCTATGGGATGCAATGTTCACAATACATTTATTAACCACATGTTATGTCTCAGGTAATTCATGCATCTTTTCTCATTTAACATTTAGAACACTGAGGGAAAGGCATTATTAAAAACCATTTTATACATAATCAAACAGAGGCTCAGAGAGGTTACATATCCTATCCAAGGACACATACTAGTGCCAGAATTTAAACCCAGGTTTACCTGACTCCAACATTAATGTTCTTTTCACCATTTTATTCCACCACTAGATGACAAACAAACACAAAAACAAAACAAAACTATATAATAGCTACATTCTCCACCTTAGGAAGAGGACGGTGTGGGCAAAACCACTTGCTCTCTCAAAAATGTGTGGTGTTGGGTCAATAACAGTCCCCCAGGACACCAATATAATTTAATATGGCACTTGTTATAATGTAAACTGCTTCTTTTTCTTTACTTGATGCAGAAATCTCTTTTCTCTGCAATGGAACTTTCTGCTACAATTGCCATGGCTAATATTCAACTGTGGCTATTTTAATTTTCTGGGAGCTATTATAGGACACTTGCTTTAGTTTGAGCCTAAGGGAGGGTTAGAAGTATTTTTACTATAGGACATATTTTTAAGGGTCAATTTTTCATTCATACATTCAATAACTATTAAGTACTTATTATGTGCCAGTTTCTGTTTCAGGTACTGAGGACAGAGCACCTAACAAAATAGACAAAAAGTCCTCCTTTTGTCTCCCAGAATTTACAATCTATTGAAAGTTTGGGAAGATAGACAGCAAATTCGGGATAATCAATGAAGATCTCATTGAGAAGACATTTAATTAGAGAACTGCAGGAAGGATGGAGCCATGAATGTTTCCCAAGGAGGAACTTTCTGGGCAGAGAGAACAATTTGTGCAAAGGTCCTGAGACAGGATTGTGCCTTGCATCTTCAGAGAACAGGAAGGAAGCCAGTGTGGCAGAAGTAGACAGTAGTAGGGGACAGGAAGAAGGGAATAGTAGGAAATGAGGGCAAAGTGGTCACAGGTTTGGGCAGGGATGGTGTTGGTGTGGAGTTGCAGATCTCAAGAGGCTTTGGAGGCCACTGAGAAGACTTTAGTTTTACTCAGGGTGAGAGGGGAAGTGACTAGAGAGTTCTGAGCAGAGAAGTGGTATGATCTGACTTAAATTTTATGTGGGTTACTTTCACTGCTGTGTTGAGAGCAGACAACTCATCACAAGAGTAGGCAAGGGTGGAATAGGGAGAGGAGGAATGGGATAGGCAAGCTACAGTTACTTTAGCTTGGACAGGGCGACAGTGGTGGAGATGGTGTGAAGTGGTGAGATTCTAAATGTAGTCGGAGGGCTTCCCTGGTGGCGCAGTGGTTAAGAATCCTCCTGCCAATGCAGGGGACTTGGGTTTGAGCTCTGGTGCGGGAAAATCCCACATGCCGCAGAACAGCTAAGACCATGCGCCACTACTACAAGCCTGCACTCTAGAGCCCGCAAGCCACAACTACTGAGCCCATGTGCCACTACTACTGAAGCCTGCGTGTCTAGAGCCTGTGCTCTGCAACAAGAGAAGCCACTGCAATGAGAAGCCCACGCACCACAACGAAGAGTAGCCCCTGCTCACCTCAACTAAAAAAAAGCCGTGCACAGCAATGAAGATCCAACGCAGCCAAAACCACATAAATAAATAAATAAATTTATAAAAATAAAAGAAATAAATGTAGTTTGAAAATAGAGCTAACAGGAGAGTGCTTCATCATTAACAACTTTTACTTAGCACTTACTGCATCCAGACAATCATGTTATGTGATAAAAAATACAAAGGGGGTAAAAGACACTTTCCCTTTTTTGGCTCAGCTTAGAATAGAAGGTATGACTTAGATAAGTGGAGGAAGAGAGTAGGACATGTTAGACAAATGAACAGTGCAAACAAAGGAAGAGGGAAAAGAAGGAATCTGAATGCGGTACATTTGAGAAATGACTAACTTTGAAATAGATCAACTTTGACTGGAGTAGATGCTTCCTCTAGGGGCACAATGGATAAAAAAGATTGAGGAGAGGGAGGGAAAGGGCTGGGCTCTGGTAGAAATGGCGTGATAGGCAAAGGTGCTTGGATCTGGGGAAGGCTTGAAAACTTCTGAGCAGAAATTGATATGAGAACACAGTGGTTTAGAAAGCTAGATCTGGCAGCAGCTGCAGGATGGAGACATGGCCAACCAACTGCCTATTGTACCCTTGACTCAAATAACTTTGCTTCCTTATTTTGAAAAGTAATTGTCTTGTAATAAAAGGTACTTTTAGAAAGAAATATCTAAGGAAATAAAAGGACTTTTACCTAACTACCACATCAGTCAGTTCAGCCCAGGTGATCAAGGGTCACCAGTGTCAGCGCAGGATCAACTTCACATTAGACTGTGCATACAGGAGGTAACAGCTTAGTATGTGTTGACAGAGCTCTAGATGTTTTACATGGATCAACTCAGATAATCCACCTAATGCCGTGAGAGGTATGTCTGTTATTATCCTCATTTAATAGATAGGAAACTGAAACGTTAAGGAGCTTGCTCAGAATCGCAAACTTAGTAAGTAGCTGAGCTGGGATTTGAACCCAGGCAGTATAGTTACAAAGTTCGTGCTCTTGGCTACCAACTACAGAAAATGTTAAAAAAACAAATCACTTGTAGATGACAATATCATCAGTGCCCAGCCCTGCATGAGCTTTTAGGATGTGGTCATTACAATAAACTCAAACACATTCGAGGCTGCTACACTGTTGCCCATTTTCCATTCACTCAGGCTAGGAAAAAAAATATTGCTACTGAAGAGAAAGGGAGGGACAGAGAATTCTCCATAGCTGCAATAAAGAATAACTAATTTGGTGATTTGTCTCCTTCACACTCGCTTCATGCAGTTTTTATTCCTCTATAAAAACAGCACTTTTACTTTTGTTCAAAGAATACTAGTTAATTAAAAGAAGAATCTGGATGGAATTTATATAGCCATTATAGTGCACTGATGACAATATGGTGTGAAAGGCAGTTGGGTGGTAAAAGATGCAGAGGTTTTGATGCTGAATAAATTCATGCTATTTCTTTAGTAAATGTATAATTGTCAGGTTGGTAAATGTGACCCCTTAGCAAAGTTCTAGCCCAATTCCCACCAAACGGCTGTTTAAAAGATTAGTGCATTGAAATGACAACTCTTAGAGGAAGCAGTAAAGAGAATATAGCAGCAGTGTGCTGTATTTAGCAATACAGGATCACATAAATCCATTTTTTCTTTTCCTCCTGGGCTGTCTTCTAATAACTGTAAAGCCTCCTATGTCAGTAACAATTGAGCCAGAATTTTCCCAGTACCTTACCATGAGCCTGAAATCCCATCAGGGTAAATGTGGCAGCCAGTTCACTGATTTACTTTGTATTAGGTACAGATTAATTCATTTTAGAAAGTTAGAAAATAAGAGAAACTAAGATGTAATAGTAAATAGAAAAATCAACATAAGCATTATGCTTTTTAATACTAAGCAGTACAAACAAATGCACTAGAAGGGAATCATGAATTATGAAGGCAAATCTCTGACTTAACTTTCTTTCAGTGACACTGAGGAAATGCCTTCAACTCACACTGTCCTATTGTAAAATCAGGATTTTCCATCTCACAATTTCACAATGAACCTTCAGGGAAGATCAGACCACATTCTTCTTTGAAAATATAGTTCAAACAAATGAAATTCTTTATAGGCTACAAATACTTTGAAGTTAGCTATGTGATTGTGTTGAAACAAAGGGCAGTATAAACTCAAAGGGGAGCATAAGCTCAAACAAAAGACAATATATTATCTGTTTTTTCACATATAGCACTTTTTCCCCCTTAAGACATTAACATGATATTGAATTAAAAATATCGGCGTTTGATGAGCTATACCTCAGAATCTTAGATATGTGATTTTTTTCATTTTCTGGCTCTGTAATTCTCCAAGACTCTGTTCATTTGTACAATGGTAAATAACAACACCTACTTTATAAGATCAAAACAACTGTCACAATAGGGTTAAAGAAACCACTACAGTTCTTGGTACAGTTTTTTTCTTGTTCATCTTTACTGCTTTTGAAATATATTCATAATCACCAATGTGATTAGAGGGCTAGACCACATCAAATGATTGAAGGCTTTCTTGAGGCACTGAAATAGTTGTTCGGAAATATAATGTGCACATGTCTTTTTAATGTTAGCAACAATTATGTAAAACCTTTCCTTCTCTAGTTGTGAGTTTTTAACGGCTCCCTAAAGTAGAAGGAAAAAGCACTAACTGCAGTTGCTCATTTGTAATTAGGTAGCACATCCACATCACTAAACTTAGAAGTTCTGTAATTTTTAAGCTAATCAGTAAATCTTTCAAAATGTCAATGGCTGACAGGAGAAAAAGGAGACTGCAAAGAGATATATGTTTTAGTG